AGTTTCACTTTTTGAATGGAATTAGTGAAATAAATCAACTTTTTGATGATATTCTAATTATATGACCAGCACCTGTATATGTGTATACACAACGTTGCTGTTTGTTATTGGCCGACAGAGCTGCTCTTCTGTAACATGTAACGTTTGATGAACTGATCTCAGACCTGGTTCAGAGAGGCCTGAATCTACGGAAGCCCGAGTGGGTCTGAAACGTTATAACATTTACTTTAACAACACAAAGACTCTTCTACGCCAGACTCCATGAAGAACCGGTTCACGCATAAATACCACATATTTATAAAAGATATATAAACGAGAAACAAAAAGATGTATATTATGTAAGTGTGCCTTTTAATCGGCATCATCCACAACATGTAAGTTTAAGGTTTTTATCAGAGTGACGCGTTGGTTCCGCACAATGGTAGCAGCTAGCATGTTAGCTCGTTAGGAAACAAAGCAGAACAACAGTTTATTTTTGTTTTTACCGGAGTGGCTCGCGGACATGAAGTCGTCCTCTTCTCCGTCCATTCGTGAGACGAAGAGAAGGTTCCGTTACCTTTAATCTTTGATATCAACGCGGGAAAAATAAACCAGATCAGAGTAACGATGCGTATAGCTAGCTAGCTAGCTACTGTAGCCCAGAGATCCAAAATGGCGGAACTTCCGTCATATACGCATGCTTGAGTTTTTTATTTTTAAATAAACTTTATGAACTAGGAACAGAACAATTCACAACAATAATAAAACGTGTTTTCTCAAATAGTGTACTCAAGTACAACTTGAGGTACTTATACTTCTACTCCACAACAATATCTGACAGTTACTTTACAAAAATAAAGCTGAAACAATTACTCCATTAATAAATTGGCTATTACAATAATTTAATCCATTTTTCATGCAAATAAATAAATCATTCATGGTTCCAGATTCCAAAATTTGAGGATTTGTTGCATTATTATTCTATAATTTTAATGAAAATATTAATATTGTTAAAGGAACAGTGTGTATCATTTATGAGGATCTATTAACAGAAATCGAATCTAATATTCTTAACTATGTTTGGATCTCATTCAGCTTAGAATGAGCCGTTCATGTCTGCATCTATAGAATAATATAACATACTGTTAACTCATAATTAAACTTACGTGGACGTTTACTTGAAACAGATTAAACAGTGTGGTATTAGTACCGAGTAACGGATCTCAATACTTCTTCCACCAGTTAATACAGATATATACTCTTTCTTGCATCTGGAATATAAATGTGTGGAAAAAAAGAATTTACAATAAAAAAGGTTAAGTTAAAAAAAAAATACTTTTATTTTGGAAATAAAAGTACACCGGAAGAGCTGGTCTTCTATAATATGTCTGTCTTTGCACTCGGTACTGTTGGTTTCAATGGAGCCATTTACAGTCACGTGTCGACAGCGCTCGCCCTCCTGTGGTTGCGGTGCGTGACATATAAACTGATGTAGTTACACTCTGTGGCCACCAGAGGGCAGCAGACACAATTAGCATAGCGGCAGTTCCTGTGAACTCTTTCAAATTAAACGTTTCCAAATAGACCAGGATGTTGATTCGCATTGTGACCACCTGAGGGCAGTGTAGAGACGTTACATTAAAATGACATATTGATATGGTTAGTATGAAATATACACATCGTATAATTGACGACAATCTTTTCCTAAAATCCCACTTTTATTTATTTATATTGTCTAAAAATGTTCACACGTCACTGAAGCATCACAGACACGTGTTTGTATGTAAAAACAAAGAATCAACAGAAAAACTGCTTTTATTTATTTTTACAAGAACATGTGCTTAGAAAACTAATTAAAGAAATGTGTCCTTAGATAAATTAAATATTTATGTTTTTAAATGTTTTTATTCATAAATGTACAATTTAACAATAATAATTGTAACTTTCTAGTTTGGCAAAAAACAAAGGCTCAAAGACACGTTTTATAATATTTAAATCTGTAGTTACTTATTGTTCTATTTGTTTACTATCCCAGTAAACTGAATCTTTGAATTAAATCAAAAGCAATAATCAATAAATCATGATTGTAGTTATCAGTACTTATATTAATAGTACTACTTCTCACTGTTAGTTTAACACTGTGTTATTGAGTTTTTTTCGTGTTCAATAAAGTTAATAAAAAAAATAAAACAACCTCTGGCTGTACAGTGACGTCATTAACGCGCGACGCTCCCTACAGAGGAAAAGACACACGCGTGTTTTTGACGGACCAGGATCCAGACCCGAGTCCAGTCTTCGGTCCACTTGTACCGGGTTGTGATGGCGGACACCAGCCGGCTGTGCTCCGTGTGGCTCGGCTCTGAGACCGGCATCCTGAAGGGGGTCAGTCTGACCCGGAAACAGGCCTTTAACTTCTGCAACACGAGCCACCTGAGCCGGGACCAGGAGATCCGCGCGCTGTGCTGGGGGGACCCGGATGAGAGCGAGCTGCTGGTCGGGTCCGCGGACGGAACCGTGAAGACCTTCAGCACCGAGAAGGGGGTCTTCACGGAGACCCGGCGCTGCGGAGACCCCGTTACCGACGGCCCCTTCACCGGGCTGGCTGCGCTGATGAGCGGCTCCTCGTCGGTGGTCACCTGCGTGGAGAGCGGGGCGGTGCGGGTCTGGCGCGAGGACGGAGGGGACGAGCCCGTCACGGAGCTGCACGCGGGGAAGAACGTGTGCCGGATGCGACAGAGCCCGGTTAACCGGCACGTGTTCGCGACCGGCGGTAAGGAGAACGGGCTGAAGATCTGGGACCTGCAGAAACCCGAGAGCCCCGTGTTCACCGCGAAGAACCTGCGGGACGACTGGCTGGACCTACGGAGGCCGCAGTGGGTCAGAGACGTGGCCTTCATCCCGGACTCTGACAAAGTGGTCACGTGCACAGGTTACCATCAGGTGTGTTGCTGTAGACCACGTGGGACCAGGAAGTCAACATTACAGAACACATAAATGTTTAAAGCAACAAAAGTCAACTAATCAAGTTTTCAGAGCTAGTGGTCTTTAATAATTCTGTAAACAAAGTGTCACTTTAATAACTAAAGTAAAGTCACTGAAGGTTTGTTTACGTCTGAGAATGTAGAAGTGAAGCAGACTTATTGACTATAATCACAGTTTACATCTCGTTGACTGCAGAGAAGACTTGAATGCGCCACGTCTGTCTGTCTGTTAGTCCTGCAGCTTTAACGTTGTGCCCCCCCCCCCCCCCCCAGGTCCACGTGTTCGATCCCTCCTCCCCTCAGCGGCGTCCCGTCCTGGAGGTGGAGTACGGCGAGTACCCGCTCACCGCTCTGTCCCTGCCCGCCGCTGGCGGCACGGTGGTGGTGGGAAACACCCACGGCGAGATCGCCGTGCTGGACCTGAGGAAAGGGGTCGTCCGGGGCTGCCTGAAGGGGCTGGCGGGGGGGGTGCGGTCGCTGCAGTGTCACCCGTCCCGGCCCGAGGTGGCGTCCTGCGGCCTGGACCGCTTCCTCCGCATCCACGGCCTGGAGGACCGCAAGCTGCAGCACAAGGTCTACCTCAAGTCCAGACTCAACTGTGTCCTGCTCGCCAGCAGAGACCTGGGGGACGGAGGGGGGGCGGGGGAGGGGGAGGTGAAGGAGGAAGACGGGGGAGAGGATGACGACGACGACGTGTGGGAGACCATGGAGCGGGTGGAGGAGAAGACGAAGAGGAAAACAACAGAAGAAGAAGAGGAGCTGCAGAAGAAGAGAAAGAAAGGACAGGACTGAGGGGCGTTTGAGGCCTGATCAGAGTGTGGGACATTTCAGCGATAAAAAAAGTTAGTTTATTGATCGGAGACCAAGCTGTCTCTACAGATGTATTTTGTGATATTTTGTCAGCAGCCTGAATCTTTATTAAAACAAGTGTTCTATATGTCAAATATACTTCTGTTCCTTCTAAATGACACGTTTTCAGAACTCTTAAGAACAAAAACATTCAAAAACCGAGTTATGATCGCTACAATTCAGCACATGTGAATATATTAAGTCATTAAAATAAGCTCCGCCTTTAAAGTGAGAAACGTAATATTATAACTTGTATTATTCTGCATAATGAGTACTTTCAGTTATGGTACTTGAAGTATATTTAAAGTTCATGTGAGGAACTTTAACCTGGTCCTGAACCAGTCTCAGTGTAGTCCTGATCCTCTATATAAACCAGTCTCAGCGTAGTCCTGATCCTCTATATGAACCAGTCTCAGTGTAGTCCTGATCC